GGTTAACTATTAAAGCTTCCAAGTGCAAGTTAGGATACAATACTACCAAGTATTTAGGACATTTAGTGGGAGGAGGTTGTATTTGACCTGACCCTACTAAAGTGGCAGTTATTCACCAGTGGCCTGTGCCCAAAACAAAAAAACAGGTTAGGGCACTCCTTGGATTGGCTGGATACTATCGTAAATTCATTCCATCTTTTAGTGATTTGGCAGCCCCTCTTTCGGATCTTACCAAAAAGAAGAACCCGAATCAGGTAATTTGGACTCCAAATTGTCAAACTGCCATGGATCAATTGAAGAAAGCCATTACTTCGGATTCGGTCCTAATTGCGCCAGATTTTGATAAACCTTTTATTCTAACATGTGATGCATCGGATACTGGGCTAGGAGCTGTCCTAAGCCAGTTAGATGTAGAGGGTGAGGACAGACCTATTTTGTTTTTGAGTAAAAAATGGCATTCCAATGAATATAACATGTCAATGATTGAAAAAGAATGCTATGCCATCATATGGTCAGTAAAAAAATTAAAGCCATATTTGTGGGGGAGAAAGTTTACCTTACAAACGGACCATGCTCCATTAAGATGGCTAGATAATGTAAAAGGTACGAATAACAAATTATTGAGATGGAGTTTATGTTTACAGGATTTTACATTTGAAATTAAACATGCTTCAGGTAAACGAAACATAGTCGCAGACGCCTTATCTAGAATTTCGTATGGTAAAAGGTTTGTATATATGCATTATAATATATTTAACCATATTGTGATTGCCTTTCAGAAATATTGTGTATTTAGATATTGTTGGATAATTTGTGGAATTATTTTTGCCCATTCCGGGAGTGAGAATGGCCCAAAAATAATTTTTCTGTGGGGGAAGGTGTACAGGAGTTGATTATAAATTGTATGATTTTAACTGTATTTGTGTTTAGATTGGCTGCAGTAATGCTGGAGCGGCCTAAGTCAGAGGAGTCCTCCATGGGCGTTGCCATGGAGACCGATGCTGGAGAGAGGGAAGTGGGAGGAGCTTAGCGGGGAGAGTTTGAACAAACGACAGTTAAAAATCAGTTAGGGTTTAGGTTTAGGGGAGTGAGCAGTCAGGAGTTAGGTTTAGAGGAGTGAGGAGTTAGGAGTTGGGAGAGAAGGAAAGGAAAGGTGGGAGAGAAGGAAAGGAAAGAAAACAGTGTGCTGTTTCCCCCCGAGTATTACAGGTTCCACACATATGTGTCAGTTACAACTCTTTTTTTCGCCCCTCCCCTCCATTTCCACAGTTGACATTTCACCTCTCTTGCCTTAGGTTTGTTTCTTTGGAAAGCAATACCTGTCGCAAGGTGGGGCATTCGCAACAGTTAGTTGCAAACCCCCGTTAGGTAATCTTGATTGTGTCTGATGGAAACGTCTTGGGTAAACAGCATCTTGTGTACAGGGCCACTTGCTCAAGAGGCCAAATGTTACATTACCCTTTTGCACATGGGGTGTTTTGGAAATTTAACAAAAAAACAACCTTATCAGATAATGTTAGGTCAACCCACAGATTGAGTCAATACTGAAAAACTATTCTGATTTCTGGGTTGTTGGGAGCTTTCTGGGCTGTATGGCCATGTTCCAGAAGCATTCTCTCCTGACATTTCGCCCACATCTATGTGACAACTTCACAACCTCTGAAGATACCTGCCATAGATGTGGGTGAGACGTCAGGAGATAATGCTTCTGGAACGTGGCCATACAGCCCAGAAAACTCCCAGCAACCCAGTGATTCCAGCCATGAAAGCCTTCAACAACCCAGATTCTGATTGTGAAGCAAAACTTTGAGGCTTTGAAAAGCTGGGTTTGGCTATTGGAAGTTTCTCAGGCTAGTGCAGCCG